GCAGAAGTGAGGGGTGGGAAGGGGTGCAGGAGAATTTAGGTGACAAGTGAAAACAACTTGCCTAAAAACCTTGTTTATCCCACAGAACTGAAGAGAATCTAATTTGTCAAGGTCCTGTGAAACAACAGGGAACCCATGCAGCAATTTAAGTGAAGGCTATGAGTAAAATGAATGTGGTAACATAGCTGTAGAAATTAACATGAAGGCAAACATTCTTCGGACTTTCAAACAATAAAACATCCAGATCCTAAAATTCTATGTCAGAGAAATGACTTAGTTTATATTTCCCATTTCAGTTTTGCAATTACAAGCTCATTTAGTATTACGGTTGCTTAATACAATATTATAAAGCACTACTATGTAAATGTCTATATGTAAATATGTAATTTCATTTCTTTTACAAAAAATTAATCGGTAGGAAAAAATTAAAAAAAATCTGTCAGCGTTTGACAAAAAGCTCATCTGTAACTGAGACTACACACACTTGTGAATTCAAGTTACTAAACCTTCAACAGAGAAGTATCTTAAACATTTTGATCTTGTAACAACAAAAACAAAAAATTCAAGTGTCAGAGAGTATCACAATGCATTTTTCCTGTTCAGTTACCCTGACTTTCTACAAAGACTAAATACAGTCTGCAAATACAGTGGGAAGATCAGCCTTACGTGTACACTCTTTCACAAAAAGCCTTTCTCCTGTTGGGAGGGTTAGGTTCTATAACAATCTCTGTATGCTCATCTTGGAAAAGTAACAACTTCAGGTTCTTCCCATCTGTACATAAGAATATTCAAATAAACCAAGGCCACTGGATTTCTTGCTAAACTGAATTTCTTATTCCTTAGGATCTTTGCATGACAAATGCTAAGAAAGTAGAAATATAAAATGCAACCCAACTTCACAACTACATTCAAGCGGCAGAGCTCGCCGCTTTTTATGTTTTATACAATACCAGTAATCAAAATAATAATTTAGCAACAAGTAGAATTAGAGCTGAAACGTATTTCGGAGTCGGCCTGGAAAGTATGCAAAGGGTGAAAACAAAGAAGCTTCCCATTCATCTAACACGTGAAAGTTTTTTCCACGCAGTGCTCCGAAATCACCATTTCTAACCAATAAAACCCCCTGACTTTTACAACACAATTGTTTCTGTAAAACTCTATCTGGGAAAAGTATAATAAAAAACTTTTCTTTCAAAGATTTTTCCCTATCCTACTAGAAAAAAAAAGAAATCACCAGTAAGAGGAATTCCCTGAACAACTGGCACACTTTGAAGTTGCTATTGCTTTTATTTCACAGACCACCACCTGTCATTGTAAACATATCAGCTAATTGCACCAAGAGAGCATTGTACCAGCAGGTGTATTTACCTACGTTGATTCCAACTGTCAGGGGAAAAAAAAGAAGAGAATGAAAACACAGCAAATAATGTTAAATGCACAAACATCTAAAAATGTTTGCTGCCTGACAGCAGCTCAAACAATCAATAACAAAGCTAGTCATAAAATCCTGAGATTCTGCCACACCTGCTCCACAGACATTTCAGTAATGTTCTTTTACTGTAAATTTAATGGAACTTATGTGGAGGAATGAACAGACCCCCCAGTGAGAACATTTGTGGTTCAGTGCTTAACATATACGACTTGTGTATTAGAGCTAAAGTAAATTTAACTGTATCACTGATGTTTCCTCACACACACAGACTACTGATAACAGAACTGAAATCCTACACATATTCTCTTTCAAAGCAAAGATGCAGAGTTGTTAATGACTTACAACAGTCATGCAATAAGTAAACCCAAACAACAAACGCTAGAAGAAGAATTTCTAAGTGAAAAAGCCATCAGCACCACTGTTGTTTTCACCCTGTGAAGAGATAACAGATTGACTCCAGTTTATATAGAATTACTTGTAGATTCCATCTGAAAGACCAACCTTGAATTCTCTGAAAATCTGAATTATTCCTGATTGAGGCAGTTACAGAAGAAAAGACATATTTCAGTGGTAATGTACAAACAGCGAAATGACAGGGAAGTTTTCTTCAATAAGTGCATACAAAACATTGCCAGAGTTCATACAGATTGTTTTATTAAAGAACAATTCAGTGGCATGCAAAAACATGGCATAGTTGGCTTCATTAGTCAGACCACTGAGCTAAGATTCTTCTTCTGCCTACACTGGATGAAGTGATAATTTGGTAAGAAGTTTTAGAAATAGAAAAAAGCACGCTAGCTAGAAGCTAATGAACTTAAAACACAGCTGGACTTAAAAAAAAATGCACAACTTTACAGACAGGATGCATTCAACTGTACCACTAACTTGCAAATACCCATATTCTGTGTAGGGTTTTTTTCTGCGTTTTGTAGTGAAGTTTGAGAGTAAAAACTTAAAAATACAAAATTCCTTGAAATCAGAAACAGTAAGATATTTTTTTTTTGCAACCACAGCAGGAACTGTCAGAGTTTTTGCTTACTTTGGGCAAGGGTCTGTACTTGTAAAAAGCTTTCTTAAAAAAACTCACGCGTCTGCTAAACATAAGAGAACAGCGCTATTACTCATAACCTTTAAAGAAATATTTTTTAACACAATATATTAAGCAAATTATTTTTTAAATTCAGAATTCTGTCCATAGCATCAGAATGGCACATGTATAAATATTACAATTTAATACACTATCAAATTAACAATATATTAGAATAGTTTACACAAACTAACCCTTTCATTTATGATAACTAATTCAGTTTGACAAAGCAACCTACATTATTAACCCACATATATTAGTACATATGTCTCATGGAGACAAGTTCATGTATAGATGAGCTGACTATACACTAAGTTACAGTAACTTAGTGACTTCAGGTACACTGTTATAGAGCACTCATAGCCTCTAGAGGCATACACTAGCTAGCACAGCGTGGCATAAGCACACTAGAAAGCAAGCCATGGATGCTCCCAACCTCTCTCAAAACTGAATCCTGGTAGATTCAGCAGCAGCAGTTTGAGACATTACCACTCAGCTGCCAGTACTGAACTGTCTATGTTCACAATCCACAATGCCATCTTCAAAGTAACAACCATTGGGATTTTATGAATCTATTTGCACTTGACTGCCTGAGTTATCTGAAGATAGAGCAGCCATGGCAGAAGGGTTGTAGGTAGGACAGGTAGAAAACTTATCTTAAACCACTGCAGATGTATTCAGTAAGAGCTTCTTTGACTAAAGCTTGTTGTGGCCTACAATGAACTCTATGCTATGAGATGCTCTAAAAATCCAGTGACAGAAGCAAATCACAAAATTACTTTGTTGATGAAGTTCAACAGCAGGCCATTAAAGATGGCTATTCTAGTTTGAATGTTTTTTTTTTCCCCAACTTTCACAGATACCAACTCAGAACATAAGGCAGCAATCACTCTAAAGCACAGTACATAAGCACCTAAACAACCTTACTTATAAACGACACATTAAGGTGTGCTTTTATTACCCAATGATTTTATTCAAGTAGACAAAGAATAATTAAAGTGTTTATGACAAGACATGCTCATTTTACTTGCTCCCCCCTTTTAACTTTTCCTAGCTCAAGTTTAGCAAACATTCAATCAAATAATCAGCAAGCCACCAAGTTAAGAAAACAATCAATCAAGCAGATCATCAAATACCTATGGAACAATCTGCAAGATGCTGAAGTTCTATTGCAAATGATTCCCGGTATCTCTAGACACAGAAAGTGACAAACCCAGCTTCGTCAGCTATAGGTATGCAACTGCTCCTTTGCAGGAGTAGATGTGCTACGGGAAAGAGCAAGCACACAGCATACTAGTGACAAGGAAATCACTGTGATTAAGATTCATAACTTCCACTACAAAAAAAGGTAACAGGAAGATTTGCACCTGTCTTCACATCCCGTTAGAGCCAATGCAATACTCCTTGAAGGCTTGTAGTACCAGGGCCTTCTGGATGTCCTCTCTATTCAAATGTATTCTCAGCTGTTGTGAAACAAGTTAGAAAGGTCCACAAGGAGATGCTCCTTATCTCTTAAAGCTTTGAAACCTGCTCCACTACTCTTCAACCCCCTTCCCTTGCTTGTCAGCATTTGCAGCATTTGCATGCAGTTTTCTTTTCAAGAGAAAAGAAAACATGTATGAAATCTTAGAAAGACAATTAAATATTCTCAAAATAAGTCTCATGTGTAGAGGCAGAGCCCCTCCCGCTCCCTGCCCTTTATTCCAGACTTCTGCCAAATACGTTTCTAAACAGCAAAGCGAAGGTCCAGTTCAAAGTTTACTATTCATCACTTTTGGCTACTTAGTTCTCATGAAAACAGACAAACTATAAGAGCCATTAGACACTTGATCTCTTTGCATGTGTATAACCACCTGTCCACTTTTTGAGCTCTCTTGAAAGTTTTTTTTTCCAGTGATGAAAGCTCTACTTTCCCCAAAAGCAGATGAAACTTGGCATTACTTGGAAGTAAATATGCAACAGATAACTTTTTGTGGTATTTGGAACCATAGTTTCATTGTCAGGTTTGCAAAAGTTTAAAACTTCAGTTAGGATGTAAGGTGATGCCTACTAAATTCATGACTTAAGAGAGCTCTGTAGTGAAGCACATCAATTTCAGCCATTTCATTTAAACGTAGATTTTTAAACAGAGATAAATTGCCTATGCTAACTGTGAAAGTGTCAGCACTAACTGTAATTTTGCAACTATGTTCACTTCCCTCAAACTACAGAGAGTCAGTTTTTTAATCCTTGCTCTAGATTATAGTACTAATCTACAATAATTTAGGAATAAGTTACCAAGATAATTACATTAGGAAACTACAGATTAAGCTTAGTTGCACTACACAAAGCCATAATAAAGCAGAAGATATTAAAAACAGTGAAGTAGTAGCTGCACCATCAACATACCTTTGTACTTGTTCACATGATTAACAGTGAAAATAAACAACCATTTTAAAAAGTAACACCTGGGGAACCTCAGCACTTTCCTCCTCTAAGTTTAGATGTTAACATGACAAAAGAAATCAAATGCAATCTACTACTTGCTCAGTTGGCTGACTTAGCAAAGGGCTAGAAACCATGAAGTGAAACTGAGTGAATCCTGGAATTCTATTACATGCAGCACCTAGGAAAGAAAGAAGAAAAAAAGTATAATATGCTACATTTAGAATTAGTGTCTTTGTCATTGTACTTTATCATCTAAAGACCCAGGTACTAATTCTACTACAATGGTGTAATTATTCTTTTACAATCTGTTTAACCCAAGACATCTTGAAAGTATTTAATTTTTAAGTAAAAATACAGTGCTACTGACTGCTATACTGCAATTAATGCCCTTATAATACAATTCAAAACAGAAACATAAGTTAGGAAAATCTCTCTCTCTCTTTCAATCCTGATTAACTTAATGAGTTCCTCCAACACTAATCTCTTAAACACAGAACTATGGGAAATAAGGATCAAAAGAACAGCAATAAGCAGTCTAACTAAGTAAGCCATGTTGATTAGCAAATTGCATTTCCTACTGATCTAAGAGTTCACTAATGAGATGCCTGGCACAATGACTGATCTTGGATTGCTTTGAAGCTATGCTTAACATTCACATTCTCCCTGCCTTATGCCATATCTAGGGGAGGCATAAGCATTCTTTTTTAAAACCTTCGAATTAATCATACACAGTCCAGGAAAACACATGAAGGTTGTAAATATTTTTGATTTTTCCTCAGACTTGCATAAATTTTATGAAAGCCTAAGACATCAAAATGCAGAGGAAAAATTAAAATATCTCAAGTCCACAATAGGACACAGTTGCCCTGCTAACCAGCATTTGGCATTATGAATGGCCAGTATTGTTGCAGTGTTCAAAGACTTCTGCTTTAAGATCCACCCATGGTTTTGTACTTCTGTGACCTAATTAGGGTCAACAAGCTTTGTCTGTTAAGCAAAATACATACCATAACTTCCAGTTGTATTGGCACATATAATAGCGCCAAAGAACTTTGGAGCATACTTGTGGATTCTGGAAATAACTTTCTGACAGGCTACAGTTGGATCTGTTCCCATCCTCATATACTCCACAGCTTGATAACTAAAAAAAAAAAAACCAAGCCCACACCCAGACAGTTAGCCATACTCAGGTTATACATTCTAAAATACCATTGACAGACCTTGATTTCTTGGAATAATGGAAACACATAATAAATAATCTTTAGCCAAACTTCATATTGGCAATTATTACTCAAGTTCTACACGAAAAATAATTAGAAACAGGACTAAAATGGACTGCAAGATGTCATCTATGCCATCTATCATTCTAAGGCAGAACCAAGCCTGGGATAACTGATCATTTGCAGTAGAAGAGGCTAAGCAACAGATCAGTTAAAGAACTGCAAAGAAGCAGCTAAAGAGCTAGTGGCTTTTATTTTTCATTGCATGATTAAGTTCAACATTAAAAGTTATTACTAGCTTTCAAAAAGGCCAATGTCAAGATAATTTTTTGATGAAAATTGACCTTATTACACTACTGATAAGTTATTGAATTCAGTAAGCATTAAAAAAAAACTTTCAGAAAAAACCTTAAGTTTCTGAAAACCTCAAAATTGACACATTTTCTTTATTTCATGAATATGAAGGTACATTGTTTTGATCAAGACTTTGAGCCACTTTCAAATTTTTTGCAAGCCAATTAAAAAAAAATTCTCACGGTAAATGAAAGAATAATGAAAATCAAGTTCCTTTGTATCTACAGTATCATTAGACAAATGACTATATGGGCATTGCTTCAGATGAATCAGTTGCATCTCCAAAATGTCCTCAAAGGCAAAAAACCTACTTTCGTCGTTGTTTTCTTTCAGAACCTGAAGATTAAAAGATAACGCATAATATAACTTACAAGCAAACACCACTAGATTTTATTTTGAAAGATGCATGTACCAAGACCAACTCGTTACACTAAGACTCATCTACAGATAGCATTAACTATAGGTGTTATCAAAGTACCACAGAAGAGAACTTTCCTTGCATTTTGAGAGTCTCTATTATCTTTGATTTATTCTAACAATCAAATAGGTTCAAGTTATCTAAAGAGAACTATCTGAACATAAAGCTATATTTCACAGGGGTCTCTTCACTAATCAAAAACTCAGTAAGATGTTATTATCTTAAAGGCGACAGACAAAAAATATTAGCAATTTTGCCTGTTACTTGACACTTCCTTCACTTTTGGCAGGTCAATTCTATTCTTTGTTTTCATGTGGGAATATCTAGATAATATGGAATTAGGAAAGATCTGTATCTACAAGGAACCTGTGATTAACCAGTCTGAATTGTTTTCGAAAACCCATTGGTGCCAACACAAAATGTTTTAAGCATTACAGCCAAATCCTTCAGGCTGCTAAACTGTAATGTAAGCTTTTATTGATTAACCTCATAGTGGAGCTCAATTCTACTACTTTTGGTATCTGATACCTCAGGGTAATTCATGAAGCTGTCAATTGCCTTTTATTTCAAGACTGGCTTGGAACAGCTTGAAACTCATTGAGGACATTTGTAAATATGCAACAGCTAGTAGGCATTCATAACTGCCAGAGTTTCAGAAAAAGCATCTGAGTAATATGAAGGCTACTGCTATATATTCCTTCAAGCATCAGTGCCCATTATGTTCAGCACGGACTTCCATAAC